TCAGTACTATCAAGAAGGATGATCCAGAAACAGCAAATTTTTTGGTCCCAAGTTCCTGTGCTGAGAAACAATACCAGGAGATGCACCGAGAGAATTCTCTCTTGAGTTTAAACTTCTACCTTCATAAGTTTGAGAGAATGAACTTCTGTTTCCTAAAGTCATCTACTTGTGGTATCTCTGCCACAGCAGCACTAAATAAGATACACTAGAAGTTGATAGCACCTCCTCTGGGGGAAGAAAAGAAAGAAAAAATCTTGTTAGTCTATTGTTTGAAAGACTAAAATAAAAAGGGGGCGGCAATGGAAGGGTACAAATCCTCACATCTCACATACTAGTCAGGGAGAAGGCTTAGCAGGCCGTCTCCTTTTTTCTCGGCACTGTTAGACAAAATCCTTGCCGTTGGGGCCAATGTTGCTTTTAATACTAATAGAGATCTTAACATGAGACACAAGGTACACTCACATATTGCTTTCATCCTCAACAGTACCTGAGAGGTAGAATCTTGTAAATTTACTCAGCTACACAACTGAGTCCTTCACTGACTTGCTGAAGAACTATTTCTAATGCCCCATTTTCAAGCCCCCAGCCTTACTTATGTCTGTCCTTCATTTTGTATTTTTTCCACCCTCTTTTATCATCTTTGCTTTTTCTGAAGAAGACTATTCCGAGGATGGCTAGAGGACTTCAACAAATAAATCTTGAAAGCTGGACAGTCAGAAGACCCTTTCAAATAAAGGATGGCAAGATTTTGTCTCACTTCCTTCTGGCATGTCATCACGAGAAAACAATCACGGAAAAAGTACGGGAAAAGTAGCGGTCTGCGGGGTCAGGGCCGAGGCCATGGATGGGGCCATAGGAGGGGTCGTGGAGCTGAAGGAGGCAAAGCTGAGGACAAGGAGTGGCTCCCCATCACCAAACTGGGACATTTGGTGAAAGATATGAGGACCAAATGCTTTGAGGAGATTTATCTCTTCTCATTGCCCCTCAAGGAGTCTGAGATCATTGACATTTTCCTGGCAATTTCCCTCAAGGATGAAGTCTTGAAAATCATGCCTGTGCAGAAGCAGACACCTGTGGCCAGCAGATTTGGTTCAAGTCCTTTGTTGCCATTGGAGACTATAATTGCCATGTTGGCTTGGGCATCAAGTGCTCCAGGGAGGTGGCTGCTGACACATGTGGGACCACTATCCTGGCCAAGCTCTCCATTGTCCCTGTGCAGTGTGGCTACTGGAGGAACAAGATTGGCAAGCCTCACACCGTTCCCTGCAAGGTGACCTGGCGCTGTGGCTCTGTGTTGGTGTGTCTGATCCCTGCACCCTGAGGCACTAGAATCATCTCGGCCCCTGTACCCAAGAAGCTGCTGCTGATGGCTGGAATTGATGATTGCTACACCTCAGCCAGGGACTGCACAGCTACTCTGGGCAACTTTGCCAAGGCCACCTTTGATGCCATCTCCAAGACCTACAGCTACTTGACCGCAGATCTCTGGAAAGAGACTGTGTTCACCAAGTCTCCCTATCAGGAATTCACTGACATCTTGTAAAAACTCACACTAGTGTCTCTGTGCAGAGGACTCAGGCTCCAGCTGTGGCACCACCACATAGTAGATTTTGTATAACAAATAAAGTGAATTAAGTAAAAAAAAAAAAAAGCGAGCTCTGGCGGCCTAGTGGCCAGAAGCTGCACTGCAGTCTCAGAGGTACACAGTTTGAATCCACCAGATGCTCTGCTGGAGAAGGAGGAACAATCTCCTTCTGTATCAGTCAGATCTGATTTGACGGTACACACACACACAAACAAACAAAAAAAAATGAAATAACATAAAAAAAGAAAGAAAGAACAAAAAAGTGTGTCATTCCTGGTAGAAAACCAGGAAACGGAGATGGGTTGATAGACTGGCTGTAACAATGGGCTCAGGCACACGGCCAACTGTGAGGATGGATGGTACAACCTCAGTAACAGACTCCGGCACCCCGACAACTGTGAGGATGGTTCAGCAGTGAGCAGTTTTGCTGTGTTGCACATAAGGTCACTATGAATCAGAATCAATTCAATAGCAACTGGTAACTATAACTTCCTACCATAAACAACCATTCCTGGGATCTTATTCCTCTCTCATTGTTGCTGTTATTGTTATGTGCTGTCAAGTCACCCGTGACCCATAGCGACCCTATGTACAGCAGCTCTGAAGCCTGCCCTGACCTGAGCCAGTCTCACTAACTCCGACACACCAACCCCCACGGCCCCAGTTACTGTATCAATCCATCTCGTCTGGAGCCTTCCTCTCCTGTGCTGTCCCTCCACCCTTCTGAGCATGATGTCCTTCTCCAAGGACCCGTCTCTCCTGACCATATGACCAAAGTATGTGAGATGAAGCCTCAAAATCCTAGCCCTAGCCTCCAAGGAGGGACTTGGTTTCACCCTCTCCAATATAAACCTATTTGTTTCCTTGGCAGTCCATGGTATGTTTAAGACTTTTCTCCAGTACACAATTGGAAGGCATTGATTCTTTTTCTGTCATCCTTAGTCATTGTCCGCTTTTTGATACATAGCAAGTAATTGAGAAGGTCATGGCCCTAATTAGACACACCTTAGTCACTAGACTGACTTCGTTGCTTTTCAGCTCTCTGGAGAGGTCCCAGACAGCACATTTTCCCAGTGCAATTCATCTTTTGATTTCTTGACTGCTGGTGTTAAGAGTGTTGATTGTGGAGCCCGAGCAAACTGTAATTATTAAGTCTCAATCTCATCTCCATTTATCACGGTGCTACAAATTGGCCCAGTGGTGAGAATCTTTGTCCTCTTGATGTTGAGCTTCAATCCTTCTGTAGCAAGTGTTTCAGGTTTTCTTCAGTTTCAGCAAATAAGGTTGTGTCATCTGCATAACATAGGTTGTTGATGAGTCTTCCCCCATCCTGATGCCACGTTCCTCCTCATAAAGCCCTGCTTCCCCAAAGATCTGTTCTGGATATAGATTATTTCCCTTTTATTTGATTTTTAGCTCTGAGCACATGCATATGGAAGAAGAACTGGGTGCAGAATCCAGGCCAGAGTTGGTGGCTGTGGGCATCAGCTACGCAGCAGTGTGGTTCACAAGGACTGAGAGAGATTAGAGACCTGGGTGGCCACAAGCTCACAAAGTGTGACAGAGCCTGGGTGCATACAAAGCACTTCTCCCTGCAGAAAAACAGAATGTAAAGTGCAGCTATTTCATGATTGAGAAGCTCTGAAAGCTATAATGATGGAGAGAAACCCAGAGGTGATAGCAGATAGAAAATTAGATATTGGTTTGCAGTACAATATTATGTTATTGCAAAAGAGGGAGAAAAAAACAGTGACTTTTTTTTTAATGGGAAAAGTCTACAGACACTGTGTTTTGGAAATGGCATTCTTGTTGGCTGCTTCATTATTTCAGATGTACTCAAGTGAAGGAAAAATTGGAGGCTGCCCAAAGAGGAGCAAAGAGACGGATGAAGGTGGAGCACAGATTGACTCTTAGCTGAATGATGAACAGAGCACACAAGGCCCCAAGAGGTGACGGCAGAGCAAGCAAAGGCTATTTGAGAACTGTTCCCACCTTCAACAGAAAGGATGCGTGTAGTCTGACAATTTGGGGGTTAAATGAACTCTAATTACGTGAAACTAAGGAAACGTGTTATTTGGGTTGCAATCCAGGAAATCCTTGACCACAGATTCCACTGCAGTGCAGGTGGCCCTTGCACGTGTTATCCTTTTGCTGAAATGCTCTTTCTCTTAAACCTGGTAAGAGCAAACTCCCTCACTCATTGCCATTGAGTTGGCTCTAACTCCTGGTAAACTACCATTGGGTTTCTGAGGATGAAAGATTCAAGAGAAAACTACCCATCTCTCTCCCTTGGAGCAGCTGGTGGATTAGAATTGATGGAAACATGTAACGTTGACGCATAGTGCAGCTTCTATGGACACGCATGGTACCAGAGCTCCCTCAGTCATCTAGATCTCAGCTCAGGTGTGAGCTCAGAGAGAATCACACTCTCCAGAAGAATGCTTTATCTTTTCTATACCCTCTAGTCACCCTAAATCGATGTTCTGACTTTATTGGTTTAATAGACCAATGTTAAATACACTTCTTTACTAAATTCTTGGTTGACTTGTGTTAATTTGCTGTCCAAATGTTAGTTCCACAGTACTGTGTGTCTTCTCTGTTGTAGAAGACACACAGTTCTAATCAGCCCAATAACTACTTGAATTCACTAAGCATTTCATTTACGGAAAGCATTGTTCTAAGCACATAGTATTTCTACATTAATTCATTTAATTTACATGGTGTCCTATATTTTATTACTTGAATTATTTAGAAGAAATTTGAGACTCAGCGAAGCTAGGTGACTTCTGCAGACTATAGCTATAAGGTTGTTGTTGATTGCTGTCGAATTGAGCATGACTCGTAGCGACCCCTATGAACAAAAGGCCTGAAGCCTTTCTATAACTATCGTCGTATATCAAAGTTCATAGAGTTTCTAGAGGCATGTTGTTTAGGAAGTGAATGCCACACTTACTTCAGGTTAGGATTGGAATTTTAAATTCACATACTCTAGAGTTCATACTCTCAATCCTATATCATAATGAACCTCGAGTACCGTAGTGTTATGGTTGTGTGCCAGCAAGTTGCCAGGAACTGACTCATAACTGACCCTCCAGCAGGTTTTCAGAAACTTTAAATCTTGCAGGAGGAACTAGCTCAACCTTCTCCCACAGAGCAGCTGGTGAATTCGAACCACAAACCTTTGGAATTACAGTGTAGCTTCTTACCACTAGACCACCAGAGTGTCATATACGCAATAAATACATTGACTAAATGAATAAATTACTGAATTAATGAGAATTTTAATCTCAACTGTCTGCACAAATAAGGAAGAAGAAAAGGAATGAGGTTTTCTGGGCTGTTCAGAATGATTCCTGGAGTGAGGCCTTGGTGAATCAAGCCGGTCTTCCTTAACTACCGAAATGATGCTAAATACCTGTGTGGTACTGAAGAGGATCTCCATGCCCTGAGATGCCAGGAAGGCCTCTCTGCCGTACCGGAGGGTGGAAATGTGCTTGAGGCAGAGCAGGAATGCACGGCGAATGTGCACATAGGTGTTGACTGAGTCATGGCTGTGCCAGTCCTGATGCAGCCTGAGCAAGCTGGGGACATAGCCACGATTCACTGCCCTGCGGCTGTTAGACTCTGAAATCAAAGAAAAAGGCAACGTCAGCCATGGGATCTTCACGGTCACAACAGCCTAAAGTGTTGCAACATATACCCACATGATTCTTAATAATTTTACAGGGAAAAATAATAACCATCCAGTTGGAAAGCCAGGCACATGTCACCTTAACCAAGTGATGAGTGAATTATTCAGAAGAATTATTTAGAAGAAATTTGAGACTCAGCGAAGATAGGTGACTTCTGCAGACTATAGCTATAAGGTTGCTGTTGATTGCTGTAGAGTTGAGCATGACTCATAGCAACCCTAGGAACAAAAGGCCTGAAGCCTTTCTAATAACTATCGTCGTTTATCAAAGTTCATAGAGTTTCCAGAGGCGTGTTGCAAATCAGCAAGGGCCTCCTGATGCAATGCATACAAAAAGACATAGTATCACTTCTGTGGTCTTCCTGCCAATACATAAAGTTTGAATTTCACCACTAGGAAAACAAGCAAAACCAGGGTAAGGGGCCTTGGAGAATACACCTGACTTGTAACTTTCAAAATAACAGGTAGAGTCCCATTTGAATCTTGCCCACTCAAACAGAGTGGTAACAGGCATAGATCAATGGTAATTAACTATATGAAATAAAATATATATGAATGATTGCATAAAACACAAAGTATATGAATGAAACACAATGTAAATGAATGATTATGTGTAAACCAATAAGAAACTTAAAAAAACCAAAACCAACAGGTGATGAAAGAAGGAGAAGACGATGATGCCTTTTCATGAGACTTCATTTTGAGTGATGAGTGTTTCTTTGCTTTTCTAATTATCTCACAATATAGTTTAACTGCTTTGAAAGAAAACACAGGCGGAAGGATAGACAAAGTTGTATACCCTCAACAGTTGACATACTTTCAGATGAAACACCCTGGGCTCTGCAGGACTTCTGGGCGAGCCTGGACCACTTCCGAGCTCACTTTGTATGTCTTCTCATCTCAGCTCCCCTGGACTAGGTGCAGCATTGAGAACCAGCCAGCTGACTCTCAGTCACAGAGCCCATGTCTTACACCACTGTCCCGTCACGGTTGTATTTCCCCCACTAATCGAAGCTAGAGGCTTGTTTGTGAGACAATACATGTTGACTGAAGATGATGCTTGAAGGGGATACTCCCTGAATTGTAATCCTATAAGCAAGATTTCATCACTAAGATAGACTCTCCCTAAATCGCAGTAAGTGCACATAAGAGAAAAGATAAAATGGAAATTCAATGATTTATCCCTGAGGGATTTCCTTATAATATTAATGCAATTAAGATTTTATTTTTTCTTTTCCTTTCTCTTTGTCAAATTCTAAATTGTCATGCTTGACAGAGCCACATGGAGATTTTTTACCCATTTGGGCAGTTTAATTTCCCTAGGCTCCCCCCCCCCCCCAACACCCCAGCGTTTCTTTCAGTCATAGCCCTATCCTGAAAGCTTTCTCACCGAGTCATGTATTTGTGGAAAGTTTAAATTGCTGTCATTATCTCCTTTAATGAATTATTCCTTTCTATCAAGAGTGTTTCTCTCCTCAACTGTCTTGATCACAAAACACTAACGTTTTTCACTGTCTAAACGAGATTCCCAGCCCTTCCAATGCCAGATGTTTAGAAGAAAATTGAAAATTAAGTGTGAGGTATTAAAGAAAAGTATCACACGCTGAAAAGATGCCAAAACAGGAAATGCAGAGCAGAGACCTCTGTGGGCAGAGCCAGACTCACAGCTTTTATTTTTCATCTATTTTAAAACGATGCACCATCCTAATGACCTTTATCTTCTGCTTCTGTTGGTGAGGAAGACAGAGGGAAAAACATCCTTAAATTGAGAGAAAAATCTGTACCAAATCCCAATGATTGGATTTATGGTTTCATTCTAATCCCTCAAAAGCTGTCATGTTTACTAACATCAAAAATTCCTGAACTCCTACCCCACCAAGACACTATGAGTCAATCTCTGAGAATGGCCTAGGGAGTTTTCAAAACGGCAATATGTGTGTATCACCAAACAAGAGCCATCAGACTGAGGGGGAATAAACACGAAGAGAGCCAAAGAACAAAATGAAGCTAACTGGGACCAGCGACTTCGAGGTGTTTCTAGAAGATGTGAGAGGAAAACATTGCTTCTCAGAAGGAAAACCAGCCGAGAGTAGAAAATGGTTTTCAAATCCTATTTGGAATGAACTGAGGAATTAGGGAAGAGAGGAGAACTTAGGTCACCAAACTATCTTTAAAAAAGATTAACTCTTTATATAAATGATTCTTCCATCAAAGACATTTCTAAAAATTCTTGTTTCAATTTTCCATTTTTTATTTCCTGAGTAAATGGGGAGGGGTCCTAAATAGTTTGGAGGGTGGTGATGAGATGACAAGAGAGGATTCCTGAGAATCTTATGTTTCTTCAGTACAGAATAGTTGTATTTTTCATTCATTCATTACTGAACATTTTACCCACTCTCCTTTCCTTCTCCCTCCCTTAGTTCACTTTTTAAAAAATATATGCATTCATTGTTGCGCAATTACCTACCTCCTCTCACCCACCCACCCCAGTCCTCTTTGCAATGATGTACCACTTATTCTGGGCTGTTGTTGTATGTATAATGCCTAATCATATATTCTTTTTTAAAAAGTTCTTTCCTTCGTCTGTTCCAATGCCATGGTCATTATCTATCCACTATTAGCCTGTTCTCCTCCCAATCCCTTGTGTCTCTCCTGCTTTGTAACAGTGGTGCTATGCAGTATTTATCCTTTTGTGACTGAGATAGTTCACTCAGCATGATGTCCCCCAGGGCAGTTTTCTATTTTAACACATCTCTTTCCCCCTTCTCAATCCAAATACATTGACATCAAGTTGGAACACGGAAATAGCTGACCTTCCAGCAGGATTTAAGACATTATAAGTAGCAAGGAAAGAGATTGCTGATCCTTCTTCCTGGGAGCCATTGGGCACCACTTTTGGATAAGCAGTGCAACTTCCTACAGATGATTCCACTTGTTCTTGTTGTTGTGAGGTGCTATTGAGTCAAGTACAGTTTTATGTGATCCTATGAACAACAGATCTGAAACTCACTCTATCCTGTGTCATAATCTCTGACACGCATGAGTTCATTGCTGCAGTCACTGTATCAACTCATCTACGCAAGGGTCTTCCTCTCCACCATCCCTCCACCTTTTCAAGCATGATGTTCTTTTCCAAGGATTCACCTATCCTTGCAACATGCTCATTGTATGTGAGATGAGGCTTCACCATCCTTGCCTCCAGGAAGCACCTTAGCTGCAACCACTCTAAGACATATCTGTCTGTTCTTTTGGCAGTCTGCGGTCTAGTCAGCACTCTTCTCCAACACAACAGTTCAAAGATATCAATTCTTCTGCCATACACATTCAATGGCCAGCTCTCAGCAGCATAGCAGTGGCTGAAAAGACCATCACCGAAATCAGGTGCACCTTAGTCCTCAAACTAACGTTGTTAACCTGCAATAATTTGGAGAAGTTTCTGACTTTAAACTTTCCCAATGCAATATGTCAAGTCACTGATCTTATGACTGCTGGTACCAATGACATTGATTGTGATTCCGAGTAAGATGAAGTAGTTAATAGTTTGGGGGGGTTTTTCCTCCATCATGTTGTTGCCCATCAATCCAGTGGGGAGAATTTTTGTTTTCTTGATGTTGAGGTGTAATCCATATTGAAGGCTGCAGTGTTTGATCTTCTGCAGCAAGTGCTTCAAATTTTCTTCACTGTCAGCAAGCAAGGCTGTGTCATCCACATACTGAAGGTCATTGATGAGCTTTCCTCCACTCTTGATGCCACATTCTTCTTTACAGAGTCTAGTTTCTCAATTAATTTGCTCATCATACAGAATGAACAGGTATTGAGAAAGGATATAACCCTGATGCACAGCATTCTTAATTTTAACCCAGGTAGTGTTCCCTTGCTCTGTTCACACAACAACTTCTCGGTCTAGATACAGGTCTCATAGGAACACAATAGACTATGCCATTACTCTACTTTAAATTCACCCTTGCTGCTTCCCCTTGCTGCTCTTTTAGATAAACCTTTTTTGTTCAGTACTTTTTGTCTTGTTTTGTTTTTGTTGTTCACTAAAACCATTAAGAGGGTTAGTTGCAGCCTCCCAAGGTCTTAGTCATAGCTAACTCTCAGTTTGGTTACGAAGCCCATAGTTTTTTACTACAACTAGCTCTACTTTGTTTCCAACGTTTGCATTCTAGTCACCAATTACTATTAATGAATCTTGACTGCATATTTGGTCAATTTCATACTGTGAAAGCTGGGAGAATTCCTCAATATCCTCCTCTTTGGTTTTAGCTGTGGGTGTGTATATTTGAATAAGTGTGGAAGACCTGAAGCAGTTACTGCAGAAGATTCAGGACGATAGCCTTCAAACATGGATTGCAGCTCAACATCAAAAAGACAAAAATCTTCAACATTGGACCAATAAACAGCATCATGATAGAGAACAAATTGAAGTTGTCAATGATTTCCTTTTACTTGGATCTTCATGTATCAACACCATTGCTACTAGCAGTCAGGAGATCAGGAGATGTATTGCTTTGGGCAAGTCTGTTCCCAGGGACCTCTCTAAAGTCCTGAAAAGCAATGAAATCATTTTAAGACCAAAGGGTGCTTGCATATGACAACTGATTAATGAGTAAAGATGACAAAAAAAAATTGGTGCCTTTGAGTTGTGGTGTTAGGGGAGAGTACAGAATAAAATATGGACAGACAAAAGAACAGAGACATGTCTTGGAGAAAGGGCAGCTAGAGGACTACTTAGGGGCAAGGATGGTGAATTTTAATTTCACATAGTTTGGACATGTTATTAGGAAGAGCAACGTCTTCGAAAGGGACATCATGCTGAAAAGGTGGAAGATAGGTGAGAGATAAATATCTCAGCCAGATGGATTGACACAGTTACTGCAGCAGAGGGCTAAACTGTATCAGAGATGATGAGGATGGCACAGGTGGGAAA